AGCGCAAATGCTTCAGATTAGAATTAAGGCGGGGTTAAATCACTAAGTGTAGAGAAAGTGATGAGGAATTGAAAAGTTAACATTATTTCGTTTCAGGCTTTTTCTCACGATAAATGTCGTATTTGACAACATGTTGTCTATCACAGTGTTCAATTCTGCATATTTCATTACTTCATTATTGCTTAAATTCTCATATGCAAATTTCTACCTATCAATGTTTCGTTTGGATATCAAACATGATTGTCACATTTCAAAGTTTATCCATTATACTTATATTTTATGAAGTTCTCGTCGTTTTTTTCTCTTTCTTGCTACACATCAAAATCAAATGTCGTTACAATTATTTTGAAAACAATGAATACTACCTGTAAAATTGGTATCATTTGGGAGAGTAAAACTCTCCCTCTCTCTGCTCCAAATTTTCAAATCATCTTATATTTAACAATATATAACATGTTGTCTGATGTGGTCTCTATGGCCTGCAATGAAAAAATCATTTTGCACTTTCAATAAGATGAATTTTACTCAGAAATAGTGACAAGTTAAAAAAAATACTCTGAAATGATAAGTTTCACTACACCTGCGTCATAATAACACAAAAATAGCACAGTGCTACTAGGTACTTGATGGGTGTTTGTGATGCTGTACTCTCTTGTTTGGTGCATTGTTCAGAGGTTGATGTTATTTCTGTTTACGCTGGATTCACGTGAAGACTTATACGTAACAAAACGTAAATTATAGATATTTTAGTTGTCGCAATCCAGTGCATCTGCTTACTTTCTTACATCTCACTGTTTTGGCACTACATTCATATATTTCCACGTTTTTGTGAATGATGAGAAGATTGAAAAATGATTTACCGAGATGAGAATCCTTTGCTGTGAGCGGTAGTACAGTGATAATGCTGATATGAATTCTAGAAAATATTGGAGTGATTAATTTTTTAAGTATTGAATTGTTTTTATATTATTAATTAGAAGTGGTTTCTTGATTTATGTTAGTTTTAACTTACTTTATGGAGATTACCTCTGTCTTGGATTTTTGTTCGGGATTGTTGTTCGAGAGAAAGAGCTGAAAAAGGATGAATACATTGTACTTAAGAGAATTTGATGTGAAGCATAAATACTTGAACCTGTATAGTACGTCTTCTTGACTTCAAGCGAATTTTTTACTTGAATATAGGAAATATAAGCTATTATTAGATACAGAGAAGTAGAAGTAGAAGGTATTGCTAATAGGTTGTGGAATATTATTTCAGGGAAAATATATTTACGGAACTATTGCACGTACAAACGATCAAAGGAGTGCTACTAGATAAAAAATAATTGACATACATATCGTTGATTTTTCAATGTTATCACCAATAATAGATAGTGATTGATTCAAATTTCAATTTTGACTGCGATATGTTATTCTCACATCGATAGTGTATAATTAATTAGAGATTGCATCGCATGTATAATGTTTATTGTAATCTTTGAAAATGCCGAAGAAATTCTACGGGGAAAATACGAAAGCAATAGCAGCAAGAGCTCGCAAAGAAGCTGCAAAGAGAGACGAAGCAGCGAAGAAGAAGAAAGCTGAAGAAGATGCATACTGGCAGGATGATGATAAGAACATTATCCGGAAACAAAGGAAAGTCGGTTTATTGTTCTTTGTTGTTATTATGGGAATTCATACTAATTTCATACTGCCATTTCGGAATTCCGCAAAATTCATAAGTTATCAGAGCTCATATACTGACTATTAAGGGATTATCGGTTTGCAAAAGTATATATTTAATTAATAATTGTTTGGGAATAAATTTGGAATTGCATAAACTTCAGGAAGAAGCAGAACGCAAACGTACGGAAGCCTTACAGAGAAAACATGAAAATCGGTTAGCACATGATGAGGAAATGAAAGCACTTTCGGGGAAAGCAGCCAGACCATCCAAGGTTTTTTTGTCCGAAGAAATTGCTAATTTGAAACTCCGAAAAAATAAAAATCTACAATACATTTATTTATTATGCTCAAGTTCTCATAAAATTTTTCCTCTATATTTCTGCACATTGTTCAGATTTTATTGTTAAAAAGTATGAAGACCTCATAATATATTTCCTGAAGCAATAAATGAAAAACAGTGTTGTATGATGGCCAGTTGAAATCAAAAATGTTTAGGTATTGACTAAATAAATAGATCAGTTGGAATGTTTGTGCACAGTATTTCTCGTGCAGATTATAAACAGGCTCTGGGTTTCAGATTACACAAACAGCAATTGAAGCAAATAAGCGTGCTGAAGAAGAACGAAGACGTGAAGAAGAAAGAGAACGCATGTTGAAAGAACAGCGTTTAGAAGCCAAAGAAGAGGAAATTGAAGAAAATGTTAACCAGCTGGAGGTATTTTTTCAAGTACTTCTGATAGTTTGCAGATTTTAATATATTCTTTTTTAGCTGGATCTACTTTTTTAATCTTCATTATGTAAGCCAACTTCTTGCTCATTTTTCACAAATAGTGGAACATTCATTTATATCTTGCTTATGTCATTTGTTTAATTTTCGTCGATCAATATCATAGCGCAAATTCTTTCACATATGGCATAACTGCTTTAAAAAAATCTTACGATAATTTTATGCGTTGACGTTCTCAATCATGATTTTTGTTGTTGCAGATAGAAGGTGAAACTGCTCGCACTGTCACAGAAGCAATTAACATATTGTCTATAAGCAAACCAACTATCGACCGCCATCCCGAAAAAAGAGTAAAAGCCGCCTACCAGGTTATTTCGATTCTTTTCGAATTCAATGTAAATTTAAAGTTTCATAATTTTATGAATGGCGATAGTTGAATTGATAGCAAAGCTTTTTCATTTGAATGATTAATGCTTGGAATCAATGATAGTCTTCCAAATTTCCGAAGTCACTCAGAATTTCAGTTTAATAATCCGATTTTTAATTTTCAGTTTTTGTAAATTTTCCGACCATGATGATTTATCTTTACTTTTCGTTCATTACTTTCTTGCTTTTCCATTTTTGTTGGTTTTCCAGGAATTCGAAAAAAAAATGTTACCACGTTTAAGAGAAGAATATCCCACATATCGCCTCTCACAGCTGAAGCAGGTCTTAAAAAAACAATGGCAGAAATCTCCTGAAAATCCTCTAAATCAAAGAATTTTAGAAATCATTCGGTGATCTGTATGATATATAGTCTTATGTGTCCTTCAGTTTTGATAAATTCTTTTTGACATATTTGAATTTATTTTTGTCGAAATTCAGTATATATGCTATATTTTTTATTTATTATTCAATAATCAGTTAGAGAATGGAGGACCTTGTATTTCAACTCGTATTTGGTATAATGTCTCAATAATACACTGTCTGGTATTTCTGCATATATATAAAGATTTTTTTGATAGAATATTAAAATTATCTATCTGCATAATAGATAATTATCATTGTATATGTATTGATGTATTGATTCAGATTTGTTTTATAATGGTGAAAGTTTGGCTTGCTGAATCCGGGTCTGACTGTATACTGCGTTCATTTAGTCTGGAGAAGTATGTGAAGGAAATATTAGATGACTTCGTGAGTGATCCAGAAAGGCGCTCAAAATGTTGTATGTTTTTGTTTCGGGAAATATGTTTAGTAAAGGGTCCAAACCCAAATTTTATAAGTTTCGGAACAACATTTGACAGTTTGTTTCAAGTAATTCGGTAAATTTTATAGGTTTGGTATTTCTTGGGAAAGTATTGGCAGAAGATGTAAGACTAAGCGATGTGAGAAATATGGAAGACAAGTACACATTACATGTCATGGTCCGTTCTACATCGGATCCTATGCCAAAGTTGCAGTTGGATAACAAAAAATTGCAGGAGTGTAGGGAGAAATTTCAATTCCTAAGAGCTTCCAAACGAGGTCGCGAAAAGGTAGGTTTTTCATTTCGTTTCTATTTTCATTTGAAGTGAATTCGTATATTTCTCGTTTGTTTCGCAGAATAAGGTTTCCGGAATCCTGCAACTGGCGGCTTTTTCTATGAACCGTTGTGAATATTTTAGGTAGATCCTTTTAATTTCTGATACTCTCATGATTTTGTTTTTGTGAAAAAAACACATAACAATGTGCGCATTTTATTTTACTTGAAAAACAAATCCGAAGGAAACATTTGTCAAAATTACTGATATTAGACTGTAGAAAAAGCAGAAGTCTTCGTTTTTTTAGATAATAGATGAAATGAGTAAAGACGATTTCGTGGAAGGTCTGCTAAAAGAATTCCCACTTCTGAAGAAGGATCGAATGGCACTAATAGTGGCTAAAGATTTCATTCTCTCGGGCGCTATGATTATAGGAAAACAGAACACGGAGGAAGCCTTTCTTCAGGATCATCCGGTACTCCCTTATTTGACCATTAATTATAAAAATTGAAAGCATACAAGAAATATAACAAACTCTTCAATAATGCTTTTATTGTATGGTCTATATGGTCATCTCTATGTTTTTAAGTATGAGAGTTCTTTTGTAAACTGAATAAATCAAAATTTTTTTTTTCTAATGGGGAAGGTATCTTTAGATATTAGTAGATGTAATACACTATTGGTTACGTGGCATTACTGTACCACCCAAGATGTCCCATTCCGGTTCAAGCGCTTCTATATCAGACAATCCGACGCCATCTTCTGGACAAAGTGGTTATGCACCCATCGTAACTCCACAAATGTTGCAAGAGGTATGGCTTACCGTTGAAGATGTCGTTAGTGTTACTCGAGTTCTGTTTAAAACTTTTAACCGTAATCTGCCAATCGAGAAAATTATAGACACATATTTTCATTATCTATACTGAAAGTTCAATTTTTTTCATGATGATAAATAGTTTTATTTCATACTACTTTTAACTTTGTACAATATCTTTTCAGATACATTTTTTAGTAATTTATATTTATTAGTTAGCAGAGGATGATCTTTGATTAATAGTAGGAATTCGATTTAGGAAATGCACATAAAGAAGATATTTTGCGTTCGAAAATGACATCTTAATGCTTAAAATGTGGAAATCGGAATTTTTTTATAACTTTATTTGCTTTAAGAGTTTTCAGAATCCTAGTAGTGAAAATTCATTTTCAGGCAGTTGCGCAAGCAATGAGAAATGTGGGAGGAGGTGGAACTAATCAAGGACTCTCGTCGTCTTCGACATCATCTTCTCGAAACTCACATCATTTTCCTGGTACACTTTCAACATCTGGGTCTACACAATATACTTCGCAGTTGGCCCAGTTAGCTGATTTTGGTTTCATAAACACCGAAGAAAATAGACGGATTCTTGAAGAAACTGGTGGTAATGTTGAACAAGCACTAGAACTATTGATTGCTTTGCGGGAATCAGTTATGGGTTTGGGAAATAATTAGATAGTTAATACGCTAAATAATATTTTCAGATAAAACATATAGTGAACTTGTTGACTTAAAAACTCACGTAGGAAATTAATGATCAAGACTAATGAGTGATGTACAACTAGATTAAAACAAGTGCAATTTTCTTTCTCCAGTCTTTTCGAGATATAAATCTTTTAAAGTAAGACATTCTCGAAGCGTATAAATGGCTTCCGACAAATTTATGGGATCCATTTTTACACTATTACAAATAATTGAAATTTCATTTAGTAAGATTTAAATTTCACGATATTTATTCCATACATTTTTCTCTAATTTTTATTAATGCTGATTGTTTTACGGGAATTAGTCGCTTAAATAGTAGATAACTTTATATTATTGCTTCGGGAAAGTTATATTTTTAGTGGGTATAAACAATAGATCTCCTTATTAACTTTTAGATACTCCTTTTTTGAAGTTATTAATCATTTGGATTTAACTTCTCGTCTGGCAAAAGATTTCTGGGATTCGTTGACGATTGACTATATAAATATTGATTTCATGACACATTTATTTATGTGTTATAATGTGACCCTTATACTTCTGAAAAATGAAAGCTTGTCATTTATCGAGATCTAAATTCAGTGACTAAATGAATAGTTTTTTACTTGTTGAATAGCAGTACATCATCTGCTTAATTGGCACTGAATAAGTTTTTAAAAATTAAAGTTTCAGTTATGTACTTCAAAGCTGGTTTCAGCTGAGTGTTACATTCCTCGCCAATTTTTGGTCATTATTCCTTTCAGTTCAGTTATTATTTCATAAATTAAAAGTGCACTGTTTAAATTGAATTTCGCTTCATTCTGTAAGTTTTAATCGATCCTGTAGAATGGTTCGAGAACGTGAAGACATTTAAAGGGACTGAAATTGAAAGCGTATTCGCTACTCATTCTTAATTTTTAGCAAAACATGAAAAAGTTCCGGGGCAATAGACCGTACTTGAAATGCAGGCTAAAATTTGATTGGCACATCAAACCTCATGAAATGTCAAGTCACTTTCTGGGCGCCCTGGTTGAGTTTCTTGTAGAAAAAGGTTTCAAACGGCCTGGAAAGATCACCAAGCGAAATCATGAAGAACAGAATGTTATAAAGTTCGGGAGTTGTGATAAGGGAAAAACAAAAAACAGAGACACTTCAAAAGAGAACAACGTGGATAAAACGAGTTCGGAAATCACTCGAAAGGTTATTATAGATTTTTTTAGTTAATATGATTCGATAATTTTACATCCAAAACAAAATACATAGAACTCAGAACACAAATTGAAAAGAAAATGTGGTGAAAAGTAATGATTGTGGAAGGTTAAGAAGTGCATCATTTGTTTGTCCTGTTAGTTGATTTACGCTTTTTAACATGTAATTACAACTTATTTTAATATTTATGAGTTGGGAAATTATTTCACAGAAATTCTATCTTCGTATATTTTGTGCGTAAATTTTAAGACTTTTAATGGCACTTATAAATGTCAAATTGCAGTCTTCCTTTGCTTTGATTGGAATGCGATCAGTATTACGTAATATGCAAAGGAATATACTGTCAGCAGTATTCTTTGACGCAGTCATAATCAAGCCATCGTCGGTTACAACTACTTTGGGGCTATACGCTACCAGGTCAAGAACTATATCATTCGTTTCAAATAACCTTTGTCCTTTTAGATTTCCTCAGTTAATCTTACTTTTTTCCGCACGGAAAAGTCAATATGTACTTAAGTTTTACAGCATTTCAGTGCCAATTTTTTACCCCTTTTTGAATAATAATACATCACAAAGATGAGGTTAACACTACAACGGTAAACTCTAAAATGTGATACATAATATATTTTTAAATCACTTCATAGCTCAATACTCGAAATTAGATTTGTTGTAAGTTCAACTGCACAAAGTTTCAAAGAATGCTATTTGGATACACCCATCATTGCGTTCCCACTCACTCGTTTTACAATTTCCAGCCTACAGAATACAAAAGTATACGCAATCTCTGGTCTAAATACTACTCTTTCAACAGCTCTCAATATACCAATGGTAGGAGCTGTAGGATTGATGAACATACCCGCCACCGAAGAACTTTGCCACTTGGCAGCCCACTCATTTAACAGTGTCAGCATTTCAAACAAAGTTTGTTTTTCTCATCTGTCTTCATTAATTTCCTATTTATAAATTATCTGCTCTTTCGGCTGTTACATAAAAAGTTCCTTGCAACCAAAATACCACCACATTACAATCACTGGAAGATGAAGACGTGTCAACAAATTTGTAAATCAAATCTAGACTGTCCGAGTATCACTAAATATTGCCTGAAATTGCTGATGAAACTGTTCATAATGAACGACATGTTTTAAATAATTTATTTTAATGACATTTCACGGCTTCCGTGTTAAGACATTTTCTTGATTCTTTTATGATGTAGACGGCGAAAACAAGATTAGTATTACATAATTGTATATATCCAATTGCTGTCGATATCGAAAGTCAAGGAAATGTCAGCAACATTCGTTTCATGCTGATTTTTCTCTTTTTTACTAATTGTTCACTAATTTTTAGCAAAAATTTCCATTGACTGCCGTAGCAACCGAACTGCAAACTTCGACTGGGAAAAAGAAGAAAAAGAAGAGATGAAAACTTTATTTCCAGTTATCTTTTTTTCAAGTGGTATAAAATAAGTACTGCTAAATCATCATTTCACATTCCTACCAGACATCAATAAACTCCCTAGCAGAACAAAGCTATGGTTCATGAAACACTAATTAGGGGTTTAGTTCTATGGTTAAGATCTGCAGAGGGAAATGGTGAAGTCAATATTCGAAAATTATGTGTCACCACGAGTCGTACTGGAAAGAATTAATCCAACAACTGGATTTGGTTTAGTTCCAAATTGCGATAAAATGATTCGATTACATCCATTTAACAGACTCCAAAAGTATCGGTATTTGAAAATGCTTAATTTTTTTTTCATCTCTGGGAAGAGAGGATCAGTGTGAGGCTAAAACTGTTAAAATCGGGAGCAGTATTAATCTCTGTTTGTAAATATTTGGTTGTCACTGATATAAATATTTGGTTGTTAGTAAGGCAACATATTACTCTTTTTTGTCTCTTATCATCTGCGTCCATCAGAGTTACTTTGCTTGCGTCATATCTCATTATATTCTCTTGAAGAAATATTTCAATATTCATTGCGTTGCGATGGCTGCGAAAGTTACGAGTCGGAAATTTATAAATTAATTCAAGGATGAAGTATATTATTCGGTTCCATTTCATCGTTCCGATTATATTTTTTTAATTGGCTTGATTCTACTTCATAAGTCCTTGTCAAATCTCTTTAGTCGTTAGTGACTATCTCATCAGTCGTTGAAAGTTGTGTGAATCACAGAATAATTTCTTGAAAGATTTCAGGAAATGATCACTTAAATTGGTCGCCTGATGTTAATTTGTAGAGCGAAATGATATTATTAGGCACGGCGAACAGTCTTTACCTGACCCAAGGAAATTGTGTCCTGAAATGTTGCAAGTCAACGATGAAACTTTCAGTTTGCTCGGTCGGAGGTATTATTGCTTAAATCCACTTTCCTAAAAAAATCTGAATTAACATATCTCCATCTGCTGTGACGTGTGTCTGCGCCTGTTTTCAAAAGATATATTACTTTTTGTACTTAGTCATCTGCATAATTTTGTTTCTTAAACTTACTTTTCTCTGTCAATTCAATTTTCATTAGCATCGGATTCATTTTCCAAGTTTAAGTGACTTTATCTGTCGAAATCTATGCTTACTATGAAAATTTACTCAATTATTCATGTAACGAATAGTGTTGAGCTCAATCCGTAGAGCTCATGAATTCGCTTGTCTATTTATTTTACTCACTTTACTAGTTAGGATGGAATTATTTATTGGATCCAAAAAATCATGGTTTCATCTCCACAATAAATATTTAAATTTTCTCTTTTATGGGTCATCAAGATGATTCACAAATTTTTTACAAAAAATTCACGAAAAAATTATTTCTTTAAATGTAAGAGTTTTATGCAATTTTATTTTTTGAAGTCATCATATTTAATTTAAAAAGTACATCTTGAATTCTTATAGAATCTGTTGATGCCATCGAATTAGGCGAATTCGTTGCTTTTATCGGAAAAATTTTGGTAGGAAGTGAGTGTTATCTACTGGTTGCTGTTGAATGCACTCCAGTAGCCACATATCCTTGCACGAATGTTAGTTTGTCACTATAAAATTTAAAGACTGAAAATCTAACTGTTTCACTTGTGTCCTGAAGACAGATTTACTCGTTTCAACTGTGTTCCACATATTTTTCTAGTCTATTTCCTTCTTTATGTTTTATCAGGTAAGCCTGACATAAATACCAATGATGTTTCAGGATACAATCAGTCACATTGATAGAGTCATTGCCATACCAGTAGAGAAAAATGGTCTGCCTTGTAAGGTGAAATATATCTGATTTGTTGTCAGAGAATGATCGTTGAAGATTTTATTAATCATTGTCGATGATTTAAGCATTTCTTGATTATTATTAGGGGCAGGCCACAAAAATTGTCAAGTTCATATGAATAATTTTGAATAGTTCTCAGTTCCTTGCAGCCGGTTATATCTCCCTCGAAATTAGAAAAGATTAAAATGTCGCAGAAGAAGGTAATGCACTTTGTTACGAGAAAAGGAAATTCTGTTCAATTGATCGATGAAATTCTGCGACTTTTTAATGGTGGCGATTTCTATATTTGTTTCAAAAGAGATATCACATTAAACATTCAAAGGTATGAACTGTTCATTTTTACCTTGATATTTATGATGAATTAAACCATTGATGTTAATACTAAATAACGATATTGTGTAACAGATTTATTATAAGTTATCAACAAAATCTTTGCTAAGAAAAAGTCAATAGAAGGTTGATCTAACTCGAGGCGTGAAAGTAAGTATTGAATTGGGTTAAGTGAATAACATCAGTTATAGCAACTTTTCAACAAAACGCACAAATAAGTGGTTTTTTTGGAACTATGCTTTGCTTTCTGATCTCTTTAACGATGAGGGCTCACCTCATCCAGGAACTGAGGAATGGATCATTCCAGTATGTCAAGGCTTCATCGCTGAAAGGTTGATTCTTAATTTTTGGCATTTCAGAAAAATAACTCAAAATTTTTGGAAAATAATAAGGCTGTTTTTAAACTGCTTAATGAAATCACGAAAAAGTTTTCGTTAGCCATGAATAATATTTTAACAAAGTATAAAGTATCAGGGAAATCTTCTCAATTATAAATGTAATTTTTGATAATAATAGGTGTCACTTTTACAAACGCTGATTAAGAAATCAAAGTAATTTTAAAAAAAATCGTTTCATTTGTATAATCGAATTTTATACATTTAAATCATGAAATTTTTATGTCAGGAAGATATTAGTAGAGGCTGAAACGAAGTTGACATTAACACTGATATCAAGGCGATCTATAAATTGTGCTGGTGTACGGTATCTGAGACGAGGTATCGATGAAGATGGTCATGTTGCCAATTTTGTGGAGACTGAAGTGGTGCTAACAATTTATGGCCACTGTCTCTCTTTTATTCAAGTCAGTATTTCATTTCAAGCATACTTTTAGAAATGCAGAATTATAAAGGAAAAACTTTGCCTGATAAAAGTGGTGATGTATTTTGTTTTGCTTCAATAAACTGCAACATGCAACATTTGCATTAAAACTAAATATGTTCAGATACGAGGATCTGTTCCAGTTTTCTGGACTCAACAAGGCTACCGTTATCGTCCACCACTTGTGATAAGCAAAACGTTCACTGATTCTTACCCAGCCTTCAATAAGCACATTACGAAAATGATAGAAACTTATGGCGCACCTTTAACTATTATTAATTTAGTGGAACAAAGAGGAAGGTACATCCTTTTAATATTCAGTCTCATATTTTTATATTAAAAAATCCAGTCAGTGGACATTGTATTTTTGATTAGTTTACAATCAATTTATTGTAGAGAAATGCAGCTTGCATTGAGCTTTCTGCAACATATCCTTCACATGAATTCACCAGATGTTGCCTATTTCACATACGATTTTCATTTCCGGTGTCGAGGACTTCGCTTCCACAAGGTGAGTCGCGTTTTGATACTCTTTCATATCTTTTGGATGCAATACGAAACAAAGAGGAAGGCACGTTGCTTAAAAATCAAGTCTATAAATAGTTTGCGTTTGGTTTAACTTAAAATTTATAATAAATTTTTAATCTTTTATAGTAAATGAAGTGCAGGTATTCTCTTCAGGTTGCGGAATTGATCTCAGCATTGACTGAGCAAATTTCTACTATAGGTTTTTGCTGGGTTGATAAATGTGGTGAAATAGTACGTCAGCAACAAGGTGTTATCCGAACAAATTGTGTAGATTGTCTGGATAGGACGAACGTTGTACAGGTTTTAGTTTTATTCTCTGCCCATGCTTAGAAATAAAAGTCCAGCAGTTTTTAGTGGAATAATGTTCATGGAAATTATTTTTTAATAGTATGGAAATAAAATTAACAAGCACACATACTACGGCTTTTTTTCCACTTCTTCTATTCTCTAGCGGTTTACCTGTTTTGTCACATTTGTTTTTTATTATTGGTATGATTAAAATAATTATGAATTTAGTGCGCGATATCACAAGAGTTATGCCTTGTCCAAGCACAGAAACTCGGCATTGTTGGCCCTCAAGCAGATGCACCGCTTGAACTTATTCAAGCATTACAAACAATGTGGGCGGATAATGGTGATGCCATTTCAAGGCAGGTATAGTTTTTTTCCTTTTCTCTTTCAGATTTTCTTAAAAATTAGATTGTTTATTCATATTTTTTTATTGTTTTTCTATTTACCATTTGCATATCTAAAGCATTAAACTAGATATAAAGTGATTGGGATTTGGAGAATTTAATGCTGTTTACTTCTCAATTTGTACGCTTCATATATAAAATATCCTTAAAGTATGCTGGAACGGATGCCTTAAAAGGAGATATTACGCGAAGTGGTCAACGGAATTTGGTGGGTATGGTTAAGGACGGGTACAATTCAGCTTCACGGTACTATCTGTCTCATATGAGAGATGCACAGCGACAGCTTGCAGTTGATACTCTCCTGGGTATCACTACTTTATTTAATTCCTTTACGAAATTACATTTTACTTAATTCCTTTAGGAAAGTAATTCGTTACTTAATTCCTTTATAACTAAAGAAGTATATGATTATTTGTTATGCTAGTAATTCAACTGCTATTTTCTAAATTCATTTATTTTTAGGAAAATCCTTAGATATAGGCGAATCACAAGACGAAAAGTTTGAAGGTGAAGAAGATGAAGAAGAAGTTGAAAGTATAGGTCGATTGGTCCGCGAGGCAATCCTTTTTATTCTTCCTGAGAAAGAGATACTCGTTGGTGGATGGGCTTTGATTGAAGGATCAAATAATACTGATCAAATTGATAGCGTCTTGGTGTTGACAAAGTTCGTCTTCGAAATTTTGATTCGTTTCTTTTTCTCAAAAAATGAGTGTTATTACATCGCTTTCTAGAACAACTCTAATAGCAGCTTCCTATGATGATGATACGAAGCTTTCGGATGTGAAACATATCAGTTTCGATGAAATTAGAGGCTTAGAATACGGCCAGTTGAGCAGATCATCGAGAACTCATCTAAGGTTTGTTAGACAAAATAGTTTTTGTAGCCATTACCAAAAACGGAGTGATTGAATCGTAATGAAAATAGTTTAAAGATATTATAAATATTATTTAACCTTCATAAAAATGATGTATTAACTTGATATTGTTGATAACTTCATATTGTTTTGAATAAATTACACTCTTGCAGATTATGCTCAAAATCAGGTCAACAGTTTACCTGGAGAGCAGCAAAAACACGTTTGTTCAACAATGTTGCAATTTTACTGAGGACGGAAGACGAAGCGGATGAGTATATTCAAGCAATTGGTGAGCAGATAAAGGTGACGATGGCGTTGGCTGGATATGTTGTCAGTTTTTCTTATGTTCCAGTATTGAAGAAGCCTGGAAGAACTGATAAAAACAAGTATGGTATTTTTCAACTTTCCATACTTGACATTTTTTCATATCTCTCTTATGTATCTTTACGAATGTTATAGGAGGAGAATGATGAACATGGTGGCATCGGTTTTCCGATCTCGGGCTGATTGTTCTACAAGACCAAAATTTGAACACATCACTTTCTCGAAGCTAGATAATGGCACTGATGATGCAGTAATATCCTCTGTGGAGGTACACGTATATCTGCATGAGATCAATACTTTTATACTGTCTAAATTTTTAAAACTTCGTTTGCATGATTCTTTTATGGCCATTTTCTACTTTAGAAAAATATACATGCTGCAGACGGCATAATTTCAATTATGAATCGTACTTCACCCGATGATTCTGCTACGATTTCTTCAGAATCTGAGATTTCCAAAGTGAGTGGAAAAAAGAACGATCGATCGCAAAAAAAGCAAAATTTGCTTGAAGTATCGATTAATTGATTTTAAACAATTTAATGATCTTTTTTTTCTTTAACTATGTTAAGATGAAGTTTTAGAAAAATAATAAGATTTTTCTCATCAGAGTTCTCCTCAATATAAGATTTCCCTCAGATGTGGTCATCAAGGTTGAATCAGCTGGGCCATGTTGCTTACTAATTTAGAGTACTGGCGCTGAATCGTCAAACTATAAGTAGCTTTAAGAGAGACGCTTGATTCTGAGTGACACGCGGCTATGCATAGAAAATCGATACGAAATTGAGTTTTATAAATCATCGTTCAGCATCGCCAGTGATAGAAATAGTGATGAGACTGAAATAAAAATGAGCAAGATTAGAAATGAATAAAAGAGAACAATTTCAGATGTCACACATGTATCCATCGAAATCTGATGATCAACTAGCTAACAGAACGGATGATTTCATTTCATTGCTTCAAAAATTTAAACTGACCACTTCAAGAAGTAATTATACAATGACCGCGGATGTTTCTAACCCGCAAACAGTGAATTTTTTAAATAATCCTTTTTCACAGTATAGGCAACAAATTTTTGACTCGAAATCACGTATAATATTATTATAAATACTGTATTTATTTTACTAAGATGTTATTTGAAGTTATTTTTGCAATTTATTTTTTGTATGTTGAAACTGCAAAGTTTTGCAAAGTGGTATGAATACTGATGAAGAAGAAAGGTTTGCTCGTTTTTTCAAATGTGAGAAGTTTCAAGAGACGTCAAACTCGGCAGCATTATTTCAATTCTTACTAAGCTTTTTTCATTGTTTTACTTAAAATGAATTTGATCTCTCTCCTACAATGCTGGTGGTTAGGTTGTTCCACTCAGTCTATTCTCTTGCTGGATATTCAATTTGATTAGCTTCATGGGCCTTTAATCGATGAGAAGTAATACTTTTCTGTTTATCTGGAATTTTTAAGATACATATGTTTAAACTGACTGTTTAATGAATATAACATATGCATTCACCTGGGCTAAATAATATTCAAGGTCCAGCTGAACCAATTCAGTATGAAAATTAAATTGATCAGATTTCATCATGAAACTTAATTTTCGTTTTGTCGTTGGGAATCTAAAGATCTTCTAGTTTTGCAAATTTTATTTTTTAATGGATTCTAATAAAGCGATGATCTGTTCTAAAGTTTATTATTTAGTAATATGTTTATTTTTAGGATATCATACCTGAGCATTATGCGATGCTATGTTAAAAGAGGTTGAAGAATGCGATAATTACTGCATTACTTCTTACACAAATTTTATGTTTTTTCCTTTACAGAATAAAAATTCAGAGAAGTTGGTTACTGCTTTTATGAAATGTCAAGAAAAGTTGTCACTTTTGAAGCTGATAGGTTCAGTTTAGGATTTTATTCATTCATTAAAACAGGCTAAATAGATTGGTGAGCTTCACCAAATCAAATTATTATACAATCGCACAAATAAAGAATGAATTGAATGTTAGGAATGAATCCTAATTAAAAAATTGCTTGTGAGTTGAAAATTTCTTAGAAGATTACTGCATTAGATTGATTCAATGTGTTTAATCATGTACTTAGACTAATTTTCAGGGATAAGTCAAAAAAGGTCACGTAATATTACAACGTTTAGCATTTTACATATTCTCCAAGTTCCCAATAAAACAAGGCAGGCAATAAGAAGCAAAAGAAGCACGATCTTAATAATTTGAAGGATAAAGTACCAAAATTACTCATTAATGATTTTTCATTCAGGGAAGAAGATACTTACGATATTTATTTTCATCGATCATTGTTAATATCTGAATTTGAGTTAGGGAACGTTTTCAACAACATTATTGATGTGAGTTATGCTAAAAAAAGATTACTGCATTAGATTGATTCAATGTGTTTAATCATGTATTTTTAACAAAGTTGTGCTTGAGCAATCTGATGATAAGAGAATGATATGCCGTAGATCTCATTCACAACCGATTTCACGTTTACAGGTGATATTATGGTGCTAATATTATCCTTCAAGTGTCTTTAAAAATAGGTTCGTCAATTCAATTTGTTAAATTCTCAATTATATAATGATCATCTTGAACCAGCTACGTGTTATTTCTACTCAAAACTTTTTTTTTTTAAACAGTAACTTGTTTAGATTAAGAAAGTAATGATATTCCACTGAATTAGTTTCATCCATTGATTTACTCAATTTTGTTTAACCAAAATGATAATTAGTTTGCAGAAATACCAGAGTTATAAACTTTTTCAGAAATTTATGAAGTGATATTTATGCTTATCAAATCTTTCATTGAAAACGGTTTCCTTAATGAAATGTTTAACTCTGTATTTCAAAATGTAGAATCCTGTTGTGATTTATATACCATGCCACATGCTATTTATTTATTTGATGAACTAACCAATGCAGTTAAATGTAATCTGAATGATATAAAAATGTTTAGATGTACATGTCTTAATCAACCATGTTTTAGAATTACGAAAATTTGGAGGATATTAGACAAATATGATTAACATCTTCAGGGTAATGAGTTATCCGTTGCTAACCTGTTATCATAAAATATAGGTCATAAGACACGGAGTGTAAATTTCATTTCGGGAATGTTTTTATAAATCATATTAATGCTCACAGAACTGATCATTCACCTCTCGATTGCGTCATCGGTTTGCTGATAAATTAAGTTACGTTTATTGATATGAAGATATTATCTCAAAGTGTGAACACAATCAATCGGATGTCGTTTAAATTTTTAAAACAAAGAAACACATAAACCAATAAAGTATTGATTTTCAATATTTTTTTTACATTCATCATTCTTGATGCTGTAAACAATATAGTTTATCGCTTCTGTTTTAACAGTAAACATGAAATGGCTGAGATGACTGCATTATTTCTGTTATCAAGAACTGAGGATTGGAGAAGGAAGCCTTTGTGCAATTTAATTATTTTAATAAGTGGTGATGTAGACTGATTTAAGTGTCATGAAATTCCCTCTATTCGCTTGAAAATTTCATACTTGATGTTCACTGCCCATTACTCTAGCATGATATTCTGTACAAATGTTTTTATGTGGTTTCAAGATTTAAGTTCATTTTATTAGCGTCTATTTGATGAGGAAACGTAAAGCTTCATTGCGCGCATTAGTAGCACCTATCTCTTCGAATTGTATTTAGTTAAGCAATTAGCTATGTGTTTTAGTTTCTATCTCACAGTACTACATGCTTCCCATAAAATTTTTACAACGAAGATTTTGCTAGGAAAAGGAACTGGAAGGTATCTGTAGAGTAATTTACCATTATGATCGTTTCATATCAGTCATAGTTTGTTGAATCGGTGATGCATTCGGGAAGTTTCAGGATGCTACAGGAAATGTTATGTTATGAATGGTGATGAGTCACTGCTGTCGACTCAGATGAAACGATGAATGCCGCTAATTCTGCTTTTGGAAGCGGTGTCATTTGCACAGTAGTGAGATCCTCTTCAGATGTTGCATCCACTGAGATCTCTTACTCCCTGCCTCTGTTTATTTTCTTATTTTTCAGTCATTTCCATCTAATCTTATTGTTTTGCTGTGCTTGTGTAATAAAATGGAAAGAATGTAAAGAGATTTTGTTCTTTTCACAATTATATTTTGAAAGTTTTTGAAAAAGTTTCATGACTCATCATTTTTGTTCCGATGACAGAATGCTTGCACTTTCCGTGCTACCACTGCAATCATCAACAATCACTGAAAACTGGAGCTCATCAGTTCCTGATTCCTTCGATTTACTGGTTCGGTATTTGGTGGATAGTAGATAGAAGCAGAAATATTTCAGGCCCCTGATTGCTATTTCTTTCTTTAAAATTTGATCATATCATTGATTTGGATAAATTTCTTCTTGTTTATGCTTATTTTTAGGTGAAGATACTAATAGGACTTTATTCCCACTGATCTTAGTACTGTTGGT